CCAGTGAAATATATTTATGTTTGTGGTTGTAATGTGACAAAATATGGAAAAGTTCAAGGGGTATGAATACTTTTGCAAACCACTGTAGATGGAGAAAACTCCACCAAAATCACTTTTGTTCAAACGTTTTCATTTATTTATTGTTTTTTGTTTTTTCTTGCACAACTTAAGTAGATTTTCTAAGCAGTTCATTACTTTTGAGTTATACTTTTGTTGTGAGTTATTTTGATGTTGTTTCACCGTAATCACAGCAATCAGGGATTCAGTAATCTTTCTGCAGTGTTTAAAAATGTTACTTTCAGAGCATTTCTTTTTGTGCTTGTGTAGCTTTTACTATCAGTGTACAGATGTAAGCCGTCAGACTCAGATGACTGTTTCTTTTTATTGATTTAATTTTGTTTAGTGTGGCTACTGATTGTTGATTAACCCAGTCAGAGCTGCGACAGAAATTAAAATCTCCATAACATGGCAGGTGTCCAGGTTTTAGGTGGTGAGGAGATGGTTAATTCCCTCCATTGTGTCAGCGGAGAAGCGAGCTTCTATAACAGTTTCTATGTAAACAATATGATTACAAACATACAGGCTTTAAAGGGAACCCTGACTAGTTGTAACATTATACATTATTTTATAAACATTTACTTCGTAACTCTAACACCATGTATGTGTGTGTATTGACTCGGCGCTGATGCTATATCACCATATGTATGTATGTATGTATGAATGCATTAGCTTGGGTGCTAACGTGAAAGCTAACAGGCTAAACTGAGGTTCTCCTTCCATGCAGCTCTGTTGTCCTCCATCATTTTCAGTTGCAGGCTGAGAAATTTCTACTTTCTTCTGTCTGTCAACACACTCATTTCATTAAAAAGGGCTTATTGTCAGATATTGTCCAAGATTAACCTTCAGAGTGGATAAGAGCTCGCACTGGAGCAGCAAACATCATTTACCTAGTATGGCTTGCAGTGTAAATAATGGCACCATCCTTGTGATAAAAAATATTTTTTTAATATATAAAAACTAAACAGCCTACAGTATTTTTATAATYTTGTTTTTACAGTTGAAGTAAATGTTTATCAAATAATGTCAACTAGTCTGAGTTCCTTGATTTTTTTTTAAATTTGCTTTAGAATAAAGCCATTGTCAACTGTCTTTATGCCCAAGATGACTTATTAGATTTCCTTTTTTTTTTCTCAACAGTTTCTTGATTTTTATTACTAATAAGCCTATGTGAACCCTGATTTGTAATGATTTTTTATCAAACCATTTATATATTTATATGCAAACTAGAATTTAGACTCATTGTAAATATCTGATGAAAAGAGGCCAAAGCTCGAGGTTTTATATCTTCTGTCATTTGAAATAAGTATTTCTGTTCAGTCAGGCTTGAACAGCAGTTCAACTCGTAAAGTGGTATGTGATGTTTGCTTTTTTTTTTTTCCTTTACAGGATATTGTTGATGTAAAATGTTACAGTGTTGGAGTTTTTGATTTTGAGTTTTAGAGTCGAGCTGTTTTACTTTGTCTGATTTCAGACACTGAGGGATCGTTTCACCTCGATTTGTTGAATTTACTTAGTTATGTCAAGTGGTTCCACGCAATCTAGTTGAGTAAAGGTAACAAGATTTACACATTTAATGCAAGTAAATCTTATTACATTTACTCAACTAGATTGAGGGGAACCACTTGACATAACTTTAAGTAAATTCAACAAATCATTTTTTTTGAGTGGGTTTCTTGTTTGCACTTTGGTACATCCGGCTTTTTCTGGGCTTTTTCACTCAAACTAGTTTGTCTGACAATTCCACAGTATTGCCGACTTGGAGGAAAAAAAATAAATGGTTTGCTTTTCTTCAGTCGTTTGATTCCCTCTGTGTTTTATCTCATCAAAAGGCTTTACAGCTGTAAGTATTTGCGATTTGTTAGGGCACAAATGTGAGAGCTGAGATGCAAAACGTAAAACAAATGTAAATTGTTACATTGTTACAAACATTCAACATGTAGATATTGTTGTGGTTTCTAAGACTTTTGTGAGCTTTTTTTTTTCAGAAATAATTGTTGATATTGTTTCTTCACAATAATAAAAAATGAAAATGAAGAAAAAAACATTTTATATTTGTGTTATAAGCTAAATGTAACTCCAGTCATTTTAATTTTTTGATCAACTGTTTATTTTCCTTTCAGACAGAAGATAAGTTTTTGTAGCAGATAGTTGAGTTGTATGTATTAAATTGCTAAACTCCATAGAGTAAGCTGGAAAGTTTTAAGCCCCGCCCCTCAGGTAAATAAAATTTAAAAAAATAAGTTTTTTTGAAATGTACATCTGAAAGTTTTTAATGTGTTGCCTGTTAATTTATGTAGCAAGATTCTATATGGTCAAATATTCATAAATTTCTCTAAAAAGTGTAGTTGTAATTACTTGTCATGATTTAAAAAAGGTAATATTCACCTAGTTTGACATTACTAGGTGTATAATAACAGTAATATTTAAATGTAACATTTAGTAAAAATTAGCAAAATGTAAGAGCAGTGAGCTAAATAATAAAACGTTAGTGGCACTTTTTAACTAAGGTTTTACTCTGAGAAAGTGAGCTAAATAATATGTTAGTGACATTTTTAAATATTTGATTTTACACTTGGTGCCTCATATGGCTGAAGACAGGAGCTCATCAGGACAAGACTCAGCTGTCCCGCTCCATCTCAAGAATAAAGGACACTCTTCTGAGGACAACTTCATGCATGTAATGAAGACATTTCTTCCATGAGGCAGGCACACCACTCCAGACATTTAAAACGGAGATGAGAAGCAAAATGTCTCCAGCTTCAGAACAGTCCAGTTGTTTTTGATTTTTTTTCAACCTTAAGTTTTGGTTTGATGCAGTTTCTGCTTTAAATTTCAGTTTGCATCATGTTGACATTGTCAGCTGTCCTCTATTTCAAACAAATTGATTTACTGTGGGAGGGTTCATTCAAACGATTCTRAATTTTTCCCACACTACACACTCTTTTACCTCTTGGTGTGGCACCTCAGCAGAGATGTTCTTTCTCYCTCAGATGGAAAGTCATTGGTTTAATCAAAGTTTTCACTGGCAAAATATTGGYACCCTTTCACCCAATCCTTGTTTGTATAGAGTCAGTGAGATAAATGAGAGAAACCAAAACATCCTGACAGAATGAGTGAATTCAGCAAACTGTTTCAGTCAAGAATTTTATTGGAAATTTACACAGTTCTTAAACCGAGAATGAAGCCAAACTTTCTTCAATAAATACTTAGTGAGGATTTTATTGGCATGGTGGAAGTAAGAAATAGAATACTGCTTCACCAGATTGAAGTTTCTGACTTTAGTTCGGTTACACAGCACCATCTAGTGGCAATCATTGAAATGTATTTCACAAYCTCCCTCTCCATGACGAGACGTCAGGACAGCGGCGGTCCGGTTCTTGCATTGCARGAACCTTCAGACTTACTCCAGGATCAACTCAACTGATCCACGGACAGAAAGGCTTCTGAGCTTCTTCTCTTCACAAGAGAGACGAGCACAGRTGGGCTTTAAAAGTACTTATAGAAAGCAGAATGAGAAATAAGAATAAACAAAACAAGGATAAAATAAAAGTTGAGCTGGCCATGAGCAAAGCAACAGGAAGAAGAAAAAGTGCACAGGTGGTGTGACGTTGGGGCTGAGTATAGAGGAGGATGAGTTCTTCAGAGGGCGTGTCACAGGCTCTGACAGCACTGAAGTTTGTTGCCCTTCGGGCCGTCGGTGGTTGGTGGAACGCTGATGTCTACTACGTTGTTACCCAGAGACTCATCGTGCGCAGATCTGTCTGCTATCTGTTTCTGTGACACAATGCGGTAAATTTCTGGAGATGAGAAAAATAAAAAAACACACAATGTGAGACTTAATTGTTTGACCTCAAATGGAATTGTCTGATGAAGAAAGGTATAAAAATAGTTTTAAAAAAGTACTTTTTCTAAAATGTTTGGTTAAAAAYGTCACTCAAACTTTTTTCAAATACTGGCTTAAAGGAGACATATCATGTTTTAAAATCTTTCTGTATAAAGTGGAACTGCAAAGCTTTGGTTTGTAGTTTAATTGTTATTGTAACTCCACAAGCCCCTCTTTCACCCCTTTTTCTGAGGTGTGTCTCAGATCAACTCGTTTTGAGGCTGTCTCTTTAAATCCAAACGAGGCTCTTCACACCCCGCCACCCTCCAGCTTCCAGAGCGGTTCAGTCTAGTTTGATAGAGGCTTACGACTAGATTTTTATTACAATTAATTCTAAAGGTGTCAACAAATGAAGATGTATAAAGATATCTACACAGCACCAGGAGAAACTAAATTCAACTTTTCTACACAGAGACTCCAAGTACGCAACAAAATGCATTTAACGGCTAAATAAAAGTGGATTTTGCATGATGTGTCCCCTTTAAAACTGAACAAAAATAAAGTCTGCCTCAGCATACACAATGTTCTAGAAGTGGTGTGTTTTGTGCCAAGCTTTCCCACCTGTTAAAATGGTTTTGAATGCCTCTTCTACATTTGTGGAGTCCAGCGCTGATGTTTCAATAAATGACAGAGTGTTCTTCTCTGTTGTGGGAAGAGTTGTTGGAAAAATTTTTACTTTTTTTTTCTTGATTCCATTAACCCCGCTCTGCCTCCCCAACACAGCCCCGTATGATTTACCTGAGAAAGCTCGAGCCTCATCGGTGGGCACGGCCCTGAGGTGGCGGAGGTCACTTTTGTTTCCCACCAGCATGATGACGATGTTGTTGTCAGCGTGGTCCCTCAGCTCCTTCAGCCAGCGCTCCACGTTCTCATACGTCAGGTGCTTGGCGATATCGTAAACTAGGAGGGCGCCGACTGCCCCTCGATAATACCTGGTCGGGGGGGATAAAATACATCAACACACTACCAGCTCTGTTCAGCACCGTRGCTGAACGTTACTGTAAATRTTTAAACTACACAAGAAATACTCACGCTGAGGTGATCGCTCTGTAGCGCTCCTGTCCCGCTGTGTCCCAGATCTGAGCTTTGATCGTCTTTCCGTCCACCTGGATGCTGCGGGTGGCGAACTCCACCCCGATGGTGCTCTTGCTCTCCAAGTTGAACTCATTTCTTGTGAATCGGGACAGCAGGTTACTCTTCCCCACACCTGAGTCTCCAATTAGAACCACTAGAACCAAACAAACATGGAAATGTTTTCCAGCTCACACTCCAAACCCCTTTTTTGGTTTAAAGGGTTTCCACCAATTAGTCAGTGGACGAATTGATTCATTTTAGAAACGCTGCACATTCGTCAGATTAGCTCAGCTTTTAACCAAAGACCAGTAAACATCAATACAGCAATAAAATATTCTGTAGATGTGTTTGTTTTAATGAACAGCTGTTGAGATATTGGCATGTGAAGTAACAGGAAGTGATGTCAAAGAGGAAAGTCTGAATGTAAACAAAGCGTTGTACAACGGCTAATAAAAGACGGTAGAGAAGAATCTGATGTTTCTTTAGATTATTTTGCGTCTATCAGAGAGAGATGAAGAGTCAGAGTTCAGATAATAGTGTTTCAATAAACAAAGACCAGAGACTTCCTTTTCTTAAAGAGTTCCCTTTGATGTCACTTCCTGTTTCACATTGGCTGAGCCAAGTTCAACAGAAAATATGCTAGTTATGTGACAAAATTAGTATATTTGTGTGTATTGTGATAAATGTCATACACATAAAGACCTGTGCACCTCCACCTAGTGGGATGCCATCATTTCGCAGGTAAAATAGTTGCATTATGGGACGTGTAGTTGAAAGATGTAGTTTGGCTTTAAAGAGGCATACTCTTATATTAAGACATTTTCACATCTTTGAAGCTCTTGTGGGCCACGTTAAAGGCTGTGGCAGGCCACGTTTGGCCAGCAGGCCTTGACTTTGACATGTGTGACATACATAATATTTGTAAAACATATGTTCAGGTTATTAACCCAGAGAAGCAAACCAGCTCAACTGAATTTGAACCTGTGGATCATTAAGCCAGAGAAAAAAAACCCAMCCATCTGAAGCATTTCTGGTGATTCGGCTGTTTTTTAGTGAGTTTGCTGACTTGCAGGCTTAGCAACAGTCTGCCAAAGGACATGTAGGGTCCAGGTTAATTTAGACCTTTGTCTCATAAGTCTTAATTCAATGTGAGGATTTGTAAATAACCTCCCTAAGTCTTCTCTTTGCTCCGTGGTGTGGGACAAAAGGCTGGCTTTTCTGCTTACCAACTATTCTTATCTTATCAAACTCTGTCCTGTTCAGAGACAATCAGGAGGGAGTTGCCAATAACATGCCTTCCAGGAAGTCTGACTCAGTCAGTTTCTCAAGGCCTCTGTGTCATCACCTCCTGGTCTGAGTCCAACAACCACTTTGGCTTTACCTGCCCGATGTTAATATAATAAACTAGATTAATATGATTCTTCTTCCTAAACGGTAACATTTTCTACATTTACAATCCCCCATTCAAACATCCAGTTAATGACACTGATGATGCAACTTTAACTAGAAGGTAAATAATGTCACCCGGTCCTTCACAATGACTTCATGATCACTTATATACAAAACATTAAGTATTTTGAAAGGAAACACACCACTGCTGTGTTAAATAAGGCCTCCACCTGACATGTAAACAGGAAACTGGACTTCTTGGTGTGAAATGATTGTGTAACATTTGAGTTAGGAATCCAGTCAGTTCAGACTGGATGTTTGGGGGCAAAGCTTGACCTGACAAGTACCTGTCTGGTTTAATTTCAGAAGAAACTAGGCCAAAAAAAAAAAAAAAAAAAAGGAATGGAATTTTTTTCTCCTTTCTCTCACAGCAGGCAGTGAATTTCCTCAGTCACGTCTTCAGTGAACTCAAGTTCACCTGATTAGATGAAGCCCTCAGGAGGTTACGCCTCTGCTGGTGATAGAAAATTTAATTTGTGATTTAAGGTCAAGAATGTCACGACGAAAAGGCAATAAAACCTTATTGGCACAGAATTTGATCGTCCAGTTGTTAGCCTAAAGCTTTCGGGATTGAAACGCCAAATTCTGGATTTTGTCATAAATATATTTTTGTTTTTCACGTAGAAAAATAAATAAGGGTCCAACCTAAAACTGGTAATAAAACATTATTAAGTTAGAAGTGAGTAAACTACAAAAACAAACTGGCTAGCTTAGCTGTTAACCGTTAGCAGCAGCTGATGTTGACAGCTAACATGCTAACCTAACTTTAGCCGYGGAGCAGAAGTCTCTGGTTTCGCTTACCCTTGAATAGGAAATCATATTCGTCGTCTTTGTTCCCCATTGTAGAGCAGAATCAGCTCTTCGAGAGGGCACCGATGAGAGAAAATAGTCCTCTGCTGTGGCCAGGGTGGTGGTRCGACGGAATGACAGGAGACGCTGCGCAAATTGCGTAAAGGGAGCGTAAGAGTGCGGTCATGTGACATAAAGCTACGCAGTTTCTTACGACAATCATCACTGCTGTTTGAAGCATGACTAAATCTATACGTAAAAGTTTTATGTATAGGTTTGAATAAAACGCAAAACCTAWCATTTTGAAATTAAAATTCTATAATTATACTGAAAAATAAAAAGTAGCAATAGTGCTCTCTATTCTTGAGATAYGCCGTCGTATATTCCTCAGTTCTATGAAGAATTTACCCAAAAAAAAAATTCTTTATGGAAAATAACTTTCTAGCAGGTCCACAACACACTTTTAAAATAGTAGATGTAACTAAACAATGTGAAAACTTTAAAAAAAGTAAATTATGGGCCACTAACACGTTATTTAGCTCAGAGGTTCTCAAACTGGGGTCCCTGGACCCCCAGGGGTCCGCGAGAGGTATCTTGGGGGTCCTCAAATTTTTTTATTAAAATGTAAATTTGGTTTTTATTTTTAAAAATACATAGAGAACAATGAACTAATAAAACAAACATAATAAATGAAATAAAAATATATATTCCCATGGCATTTAGGGGTTCAAATGACAATAAATTATCTTTTAAAACAGCATGGGGTTTATGAGGGGGTCCCTGGAATTTTTTTCGCCCTTATAAGGGGTCCCCAGACCCAAAAGGTTTGAGGACCCCTGATTTAGCTAAGCTCCATCTCAGTGTAAAATCTTAGTTTTTTTTCCACTAACATATTATTGTTATTTCACCATTCTCACATTTTATTATTTTTTATTAAATGTTACTAAATGGTTTTAATAATACATGTAAATGCTAAATCCTAAAGGGTCTGAACTTGCATAGTGCCTTATTAAGTCCCTACAGTCAGACTCTGAAGTGTTTCTCTTCAGCTGAGATAAACTCTGCAATTAAAAACATGCAAAAAGGAAAATCTCCAGGATCAGATGGTTTCCCGGCAGAATTTTTAAAGAAATTTTCGGATTTACTTTCCCCCCTGTTATTATCAGTTTTTGAGGAATCCTTAGCTACACAATTA